CCCAGGTCCCTTTCCCCTATTTCCATGGTTCCCTGGATCTTCAGAGGTTAAACAAGAAGTTAAACACACGTAGAGACTTCTATGCATCCTTATGGTCTCAAGTGGAACTTTAGGAGCTGCCATGAGGTGCTCATTTTAGCCTGCTGTAGGCCATGGGGGCTGTGGCAGCAGCAGACCCACAAAAGCCTCGCAGGTGCTGGGCAGTGTTTACAGGAAATGGATTTAATCAACAAGCCAGAGTACAGCCCAGTGATCCATAAGCAGAAGCAGCACGATTTGCTAGGCTAAGCACTATATTAATATAGATCAGATGTCCTGCATTGACAAATCAATATCAAGTACAGGAACATTAACTGTTTCTTAAAGCATTTTTATACAGGCAAGTTTAAAACAGGATTCAGGCATCTTGAGGTAGCAAGGTGCAGTTCTTCTACTGAGAAGAAAACTTACAGTATATTTCCTACCAAACAGCAGGACTAGCTCCAACACTGCTTGCAGTTGGTGCCCCATATCCCACCCTACCAGTCCAGCTATAATCACGTTAGGCAGATGGGATCTGCCTCTCCTCAAGCTTTCTGCCAGAGCGAGATTGCTTGGCAGCAATCAGAGAGCACGCAGCAGAGAGATGACCCCTGCAATTTATCTCACATCTCAACAACAGCTTGACCTGGCAACTTCAATTGGTTTATTATTTTGCCTTCAGCACAAAGCAGTGGGTACACAAGGAGCACAAGTTGGGCAGTTGTCTGATAGCCTCTGACATGCTGAGCTCAGTGAAGCTGGATCTGAATCTCTACTCCATCAGGGGGTTGTGTTGCATCAATGGAATAACTGACACCAAAACCCAAGGCCCACATGGTCTTGTTGTAGTACAGCAGTAAGCCATTACACACAGTAACGTAGGGTTGTGAGTGGTGTTTGAACAGCATCCACTGCTATTTAAAAGAGGGGAAATTCCACCTCTTTGCATCTGTACTTGTCCTCCAAGAAAACTTTCTCCTCAGTCTGTTTCTGACCTCCAGAAAACAACAATTTTAACCATCTTTTTTACAAAATAAGTCTAGAAGAAGCAGTACTCACATTGGGAGCAGATTCCACTTTTCTTCAAGAAAGGAGGACAAGAAGCAACTGAAATGTCTCCAGGCCATGGGAGATCAGTGGTGACAGTAAATATGCATCTCCTATACTAACAACACTCTACCACTGAGTCCACATCTCTCCCAGGCAGCCATTCCTGTCTCACCACAGGCTAAGGAGTCTTCACCAGGTAGCAGCAGACAACTAGAGGAAAAGAATTAGACCTAGGAGGAGAAGTGACAAGGGATGACAGGAACCCAACAGCTTCTCCAAGCATGGGAATATGCCAGGAGGGCACACGCCTGCCTGCAGGCTTGGCAGCGAGTAGGGATTACAACCTGGTTCTTCCCAAAACAGTACCAGGGCTTACCTGGTAACCAGGTAATTACCAGTTCATGTGTGTTGAGCAATATTCACCCTTCCACTTTCTCTCCAAGAATAGAGAAAATAAGTCATTTTACATGCAGTGATTTTATTTTAAGTAGTTAAGACATAGTACAAGAAGCTTCTAGGAAGGTAATTCTTTACTTTGTATACTAGCTGAGGGTTTAAGACCAACAGCCATCATTGTATTGATTATAGGAGCATATCATGGACAGCTTGCTAAGGAGGTAGAGGTATTGTAGAGCTTCAGCTCCGCTCTCCTCCTGGCCCAGAGCTCAGCCACCATTGCTGAAGGTAGCTACAAGCACTTAAGAATTACCCTGCTACTTCTACCACCTTCCCTAGAAGCTCCTAAGGATTTGTTTAGTAATACCCAATAATCCCCCAAAATGTGACAGCTCCATCCTCAGCTGGAGTGGAGTTACCTAAAGCCAAGACCAAGTCCTCAGAGTCATGCCAGTGCCTCATCCTCTACATGAGGGTGGTGTGGTGGAAGCTTCATGATCCCCTACTCCTGCTGTTTCTGCTTACTCCTCCTCCTCCTGCAAGGGTTTCTCCCACTGTGAGGCTTCCACCTCCTCCTCCCTCTGTGAGGTTTCCTCCATTCATGATCTCCTGCTGTTTCTGCTTACTCCTCCTCCTGCAAGGGTTTCTCCCACTGTGAGGCTTCCACCTCCTCCTCCCTCTGTGAGGTTTCCTCCACCAAGATTCCCTCTTCTTCCTCCTCTTCTGGTGAGGTTTCCTCCTCTTTCTCCTCCTCCAGTGAGGTTTCCTCCTCCTCCCTGGTAGGACCCCTCTCCCCCAGCCAGGACTGAGGCATACTGTTCTCCAGGTACTCCAGCATGTCCTCCATGTACTCCTGGATATCACACAGCTTCCTCTGACTCTGGCTCAAGACACAGCTGGACAAATCCTGGAAGTTGTTTGCTGCTAGGAAAGCAGTGTGAAGCTCCTCCGTGATATTAAGAAATTGCTGCACCCTGTCATGGAGGCCTGAGGTGAAGTCTTGGATTACAGACAGTACTTCACAGCAGGTGTCTTGCAGCTGCTGTGTTAGAGTGCATGCCATGAGCAGGGCCAAAGTCTCCATCTCCTGAGAGGAGGCAGGAAGGACAAGATCAGATGAGCGAGTTACTCACAAGAGAAAGAAAATAAATATCAAGGAGGTGCCCAGAGCCCCTTTCTTCCCTCCCTAGAGGGTACCTCTGGCTTTGCAGAGCCTTCATCTCTGCTCTCTTCCGAATACTTCCTACTCCAGGCCAGCCACATTTGCTGTAGTTTCTCCTGCTCCTCCTGAAGCGTTTGATTAAATCCTTGCTTTAACACTTCAATCTGTGGCAGGGGAAGATCAGAGCACCAAGACAGACAGATCTGCTCGTGAACAGCGCAACTGTTTATTGTAACAATGAGGTTGAGACCAAGCCAACAATTTGGTCCCCCCTCCTTCCAGGAGACTGAGCTTTACCTACCAGTTCAATGATGCAGCGAAGCTGTGCAAGGGCCTCCTGTATGCTCTGCCAGACTTGCTTCATTTTGAGCTCACCAAGTTCAGAGAGAGACCTCAGTCTCACAAAGTACTTCATCCCTTGGTGCTGCTGCACAAATATGCCTGTACGCTCCACAGATGGTACCAGATTGGCTGAGGAAAGAGAGCTTATCTGCATGTGGCTGACCAGAGATGTTTACTACACAAAGTAAACAAGTATCAGGAGCCTTTGGACTAGGTAGCCTCCAGCATGGCACTCCCCATTAGCCCCACTCCAGAGGGTGAGGAATGGGGGTGATCATCCTCAGCTTGGTGGTTCCCATTACAAATGATAACATACACCATTTCCTTACCTAGTATCTCACTTCCAATAGAGAAAGAGCCACCTTCTGCTCTCGACAAAGCAGCTTCTGCTTCTCTTTCAGCTGTCTGGTCTGCTCTGGAGTCCATAACCATCCCCACAGTGCCGGTCACTGCAGACTCAGCAGCCTCCACGCCACTCTGAGGAGTCTCCTCAGCTGCATCCATCACCTCTGCCACTTTGCTGCTCTCAGCACCCTTTGCATCAGCCACTCCAGATGACACCAGCTCTTCAGTGTCAGACATAATCTGTGGAAGGAAACTTGTGTCAGATAAGAGATAGGGTCATGCAGCACACTACACCAAGAGAACAACTAGCACAGTGCCTGCTAGGTATTTATTCCTGTAGAACCTTGTGTTATGCACTTAGGAGTAATTTGTTCCTCATACAAGAGCCTACTCTGCTCCCAAGGTTAGAAACTCTGCAAAAACCAGCTGGAGACAGCACAGCCTTTGAGTCTTACCTCTTCCACTGGCTTTTGAAGGAGTTGGAGCTTTTCTCCTTGTTTATCCAAATCCTCAGAAGCAAACTCACTTGCTGCAGCAACTGCAGAAAAAAAAGTATCAAAATTCAGGGTTTTTTAGGAATTCCATCTCAAGTCCTACCTCGCTAAGCACATTGCCTTGCAGGGAATGCATTCTTCTCAGATGCCACAGTCATATTCCTTAAGAGCAGTGGCAAACAGGACCTCTAGATGCAACAGTCCTCCAAGACACAGCTTTTTCCTGCCCTTCCCCAGGGTTTACCATGAGGCTCCGGTGTGGTCAGAGCCAGCTGCACGCAGCTGGCAGTGCCTTCGGTCACACTCTTCATGTCTTCCTCTGCTACATCACCCTCAGATCTGATGTGGGGGTGGCTCTCCTCTGTGGAGACATCAGCTGTAGAAGCATCAGCTGTAGAAGCCAGGTCACACGCAGAGGTGGTCAAGGTCAGGTTAACCACTTCATCTACTACATCCTAGAAGAAGAAGAAAAATTATACCATGAAACCTGCAAACATGACCCTTAGCTTCCTATGCTTTTTTGCCCCAAAACTTCCTCTTCTGTTTGCCTGTTCAAGTGACCTGGTCTGGTTGAGAAAGTAAGGCTCGCCTTGCTTGGACATTGGCTTTAAAGAAATCTACAACCTGGTTGTGAAACATTGACATTTATGGTTGACCCATTCTAGAAATTTCTTCCTCTAGCACAATGCTACCCAAGGGACAACTGAGTTTATGGGCAGCCTCAATACTTCTGCTCCCATATCCAGCACTAATTCATTTGGTATAGTTATTTAACAAGACAAAGCTTCATCAGGCAGGATCAAGCTGATTTTAAGGTGACAGACTTCATGCTCGTTGGCAAGAAGGATGCTGCTGATCACGGGATTAGAGCAAACACGGCAGGTTTCAGCTGCCAAAACATAAGAGCCTTCCCATAAAGGCATCACCTACAGCAAGCCAGGATCTTGACTACAGAGTTGGAGAAACATCTCTCCTAGCCAAGAGCCAGCCTATTTTGTTTAACTTAGGAGGTTATTTCCATGGTCTTTAGGCCTACTCTTTTGGCTATGCCACCACCCACATTTCTCAATGAGCTGCAGGGCACAGCCCTAGCAGAGGAAATGTTCCTCCTTCTGCAGGGGCTCAGCTCCCCCAGGCACAGCAGGGCCACCTCCTCATACTCATCACATCTCACCTACCTGCTGCTCCTCTTCCTTCTCCTCCATCGGGACCCCAGCAGCTTCCTCTTTGTCAGACATAGCCAAGGCCATTGCAGCTAGAGTGCAAGCAGCACCATGGGTTTTGGAAAAGAGACAACAGAGCCTGTTAAGCCTCCACAGGGATCCATCTTCCCAAGGGACACTTCCCTCTGTCCTCATTAAATGAGGAAGTTTCTTTACTACCCATTAATGCTAAATGCCCAAAATGGGCCTCTTCCCATTACAGTAGGAAGGGATCAAAGCCACATAGTATTTAGGTTTCACATGGTTTAAGATAATCAGAGGAATGCAGAGAACAAAGTCTTTCCTCACCCAGGAAATATCTTGTCAAAGAGATAGAGCTTATTATCAACATATTTAGAAGAGGCAACTTGTACCTCCCTTCTCTTCACCAAGGCTTCAAGGAAGTCTTGTATTATAGAGACAGTAACTGCAAAACTAAGGAAAAAGAACAAACCAGCTCAAGAACTTGCCCCACTACCATTGCACACCCCAGCTAGAATCAGCTTTTCCCTCAAAACCAGCCCAGGCTGTATCCAACTTTTTAAGCAAGACCACAGGCAACCTCATCTTAACTGAGACTAATGGCACCCAATAATTAAGCCAGGTAAGAAGCATCTAAACACAGATCAGGAATTCATAGAACAGTTAGAGCCATAACACCCCAAAATTTGAGAGCCCTACCTGTTTACCTTATCAGGGATAAGCAGCTGAACAGCAAAGAACACCCCAACACCACACCATGCCCCATCATCCCTGCTCTGCCTTTTTATACTGGCTGGGGAAGGAGGGGTCCCAGTGACTGACAGCTTTGGGAAGCAGCAGAGAATAGTCAGTCCCTGCCCTGGCCAATTAGGGATGGAGTGGGGCCTGCTGTACCTCGTTAATTACTCTGTAATCAAGGCAGGTGCATATTGCCCTGTGTATAGGAGCTCCCTTCAGAAGCCATTGCTGCCATGGACCATGCACCCATCAGGGCTTCATAGGCTTAACCAGTGTCTAATTTTTCTGTTCAGTCTCTCCTAAATCTCATCCTAGGAGCCAGTTTTGAGGCTCAGCTGTGGGAAAGGCTGCAGCAGGTGTGTCTGCCCATGTTGGTGGCAGTTTCTGCCCTTGCACACCAGGCTGATGGACACCAGATTGGTGTGATGTGGAGCAGCAGTGGGTGCTGGAAATGATGCTTGTGCAATTGGTTACAAAACACGGGGTTGCAATTGGTTGCAAAACACGGTTCCTTTTATCCCCATCCTCGGCTGGACTCTGAGCAGGACTCCTGCTGTTGGAGTCAGGTAGAGATGGCAGATCTTTACATGGCAGAACAGTGGGGAGCAGGAAAAGCCAAAGCAGGAAGGAAACCAGACTTTAGCCAGTCCCTTATAAATAAAAAAATGCCTACCTTGATAAATCCAAACTACCCAAATGTAACAGAGATAAAAGCGAATCCTTCCTAAAGAGATGATTGAAAATAAAACTGAAATTTCTATACCCTTTCCTGTTTGGCTATAAAGTCTGAAAGGGAACCTAGGCAGTGGTTAACTGGTCCTGAGGCCACCAGCACTCCTAATGCACAGTGTGATGGCAGGGGGTGCAGGGGCTGTGTATGGGTGTGGGATGTTGTAACCACAGGGAGGGACAGAGAGGGACAAGCGATGGCCCCCACCTCACTGTTTGTCCAGCAGGTGAAGACCCCCTTGGCCTGCAGAAGGCATTGGATTCAGCTCTCCTATAACCTGGATTAATTCTTTAGCATTGGCACATATATAGTGTCACCGCTTGTATTTTTGCATGAGGGTAGAGTGGCTACTGGGTTTTGAGAGGAATAAATATGTGCTGAATATTTGACAAAAAAACCACCTTCAAGATACCTAGCAAAATCATCTTTGACTGATTTGGTGATCCCAAATAGACACTGGTTTGGTTACTTCCATTTTATCAGCAATATGGGTATGTGTAACAGCAGTTTCATGTTCCTAGATATCATTCGTGATGAGCAGTAAGATATTGGGTTATTTAAGGGACACTTCATCTCTGAGTTTGTCTGAGGTGTCACAGTCCTTTGCAGACCAGGTCCCACGTGTCTCTGCACCTTCACCTACAGATCTCCTATGTCCCTGGATTCTGAGCATTACGAGTAACTCAGTTGCTCTGATGATGGGCTCTAAGTACCAAAGATCCTGCTTTTTACACTAAATACAAGGCATTAGCTGTGGTTTCTCAGGCACATTTAGTGGTAAACTCAGTCTTAGAAAAAAGGGAAAAAATCACTTTTGAGTGGCCCTGGATGCACAGAGATCACAGTGCCATGCAGTTTTCTGGCTGGTGAGCTCGGGTGATTGAGAAGCTGCAAAATCAGCCTGTGGCGATGGCCACGAAGCTGCTGGCAAGCATGATGCTGGAGGTGAATGCAGTAAATCTGGAGTTTCTGACACGTCATCTCTCATCAGAGCTCACTACCACCATAACAGAGAGCAAGGGACCAATCACAGCCTAAATCCCTCTGCATGCTCCTTCGTATCTTTTCTGCAAAAGAGGAAAAAAAAACCCCAAGTACGAACTGGCTGTTGGCTCTGAAAGTGTGGCAGGGCCTTTTTTAGGTAGGAGAAGTGGGTTGGGAGGGATCTGAGAGCTGCACCGAGCTCAGCTGGGAAAGCCTCACCTCTGAGGAGATGGTGTGGTGCTCCAGTGGTCCCCGTGTGGGCAGGGGTGGTGGGACAGGTTTGGCTGGGGGTTGGCAGACAAGTTCTCACCACCACCGGTGAATGCTCTTTTGCATCTCTCTGCAGCTCAACCCTTATGGGGGGATGCAAGTTTGTATGTGAGTATGGCCAGGGAGGGGTCTAAGGCCACTTATTTGGAAGGGAAGACACTGCCCAAGGTGGGGACAGAGAGAACACAGCTGCTGTTGGGCTGTGAAGGGCACAAGTTCAGTGTAAATCCCATATAGAAGTGATAGGAGGTGACTGATTCAACAGGTCCTGACGGTCTGCTCCAGTTGGAGCAAGAGAAATCCGTGAATAACCAGCTCAGACAATCTGTGAGAGCCACAGCTAACAGTTTATTCTGTCTTTCTATTCCATGGCGAGCATTGGCGCTGCTTGCAAATGAATCGCTGTTTCTGTGCTCCTTATTGCACCGACGTCTGAAGACCCCAGAGCTTTTGTGGAAGAGAAGGGCTCCAGCCATGGCAGAGGGGAGCCTGCGGATGCTGTATCCATGGTGACAGCTCCTTTAAACATTTGACATCAATTAGAGGTAGTCTTCCCAGTGCTAATGGTGGAAATAGGGAGGCTGAAGCACTGGGCTGGACTTGGGAACCGTGGGACTTTGTTCTCTGCCAGCTGTCTGCGGGCTGATTTTCTCAGAGGCTGTTGGGCTCCATGTCTCAGTTTCTCCATCCCTAAAATGGTGATCATGGTTTTGACCTTTTTCCACAACGTTGCTTTGTGATCTACTGATGGAAAGTGCCACATGAGAGGTAGGGATTACTGACAATAAACTCTACACCATTAGAAGGGCAGCTTCTCCTCAAGTCAAGCCACAGTCCCCTTAGCCAGAGAGATGGTTTCTTTCTGCAGATCTGGCCAGCACCAGCTTCCAGGGTTTTGGATTTGCTTCCAGATCTTGCTCCTTATCCAGAGACCTGGGTGAACCTCATCCAGTGACTGCATGAAATAGATGCTTGTCCCCTGAGCTGGTGCCACCTTCCATCAGCATCCCTTTAGGCTGGAGCAGGACTTCTGTGGGCTGGACGACTGGGCAACCTCAAGCTGAAGCAGGAGCAATAGGAGCTGAAGCAGGCAATAGGAGTTACCCGTAGGAGACCATCCAGACACCTCCAATGGCATCTTTAGCTCAGAGACTGACACCTGGATAACTGGGGTCTGTTTCGGTGTGGAAAAAGGGCTTGCACAATGCATGTGCACAGGGGGGTTACGGCTCTTCAACAAAGTAAAATAGGTCTGGACTGGCCTCTTCCAGTCATCGCTGTACCATGCAGGTAACCTAGGCCCTGTATTTGGTGAGGGTGCCCACGAAACTGTAAGAATCACCCTTCAGAAATAACATTTGAAGTCCCTTCCATTAAAAGAAGCTGTATCTTGAAATACGTACAGAGCACGGAAGAACAGGCTTTAGCAGCACATCTTGAGAATCAGTGCTGTAGGCGATCTCCTTAGCAGCTTGTTAGATGTTTTATAAGTGTCCTTCCCAGCTCCAGAAGAAATAATACTACTAATGGCTGTGTCAGATACAAAATAATTTCGCAGCTTTTTTCGTCTACAAGCTTTCCAGTTTCAATAAATCATGGGCCCTTCTATGCAGCCGAAGGAATCCAGACCCCGTGGTACTGACAGCTTGGCTGGCAAAAAAAAAAATAAAAAATTAAAAAAAAATAGAAAGGACACCAGTGCCATCATTTTCTGCATGAGTTGCAGCCGATGCTCTGTTTGCCTTAGCAAGTCAGGCACTTGCTGAGCTGCGATACCTTCTCGTTAGCACGGCTGAGCGCTCCCTGGGATCGTGGGAGGAGGTGTCGGCGTTAAGCATGAAGCAGCAGAATAAGGGGATTAATTCAGCACATACCTGCGTGTTTCACTTTGTGCAAAGTGGTCTGGTGTTCCCGAGAGAGGTGGTGAGCATCCAAAATCTCCCAGGGCTGGGGTGGTGAGAAACCCACCAGCGGAGGCTGTGCCACGGTGGATGTCCCTTCCTGCAGAGAGGGGATTTGCAAATCTGATGTATTTGGGGAGTGTTTTAACCAGTGAACTGTGGGAAGTAGTGAGCTCCCTGTAAATACCCCTATGCTCAGGATTATTGTGGACATAACCACACCTGAATGACTGCATCAATCCACCAGAAAAAGCTGTCCTGCCAGTGACATCCTTAGGGATGCTTTTGTCCCCTCTACCCAACAACACACCCGCGAGAGGTTTACTACTTTGATTTTAAAGATAAAATATCTTATAGGGGAAGTGGCAAACCCATTTCACATCTCTCCTTTGAAATGGTTGGTCCATTTCCAACAAAATAATTGCAACCCAAGCCAGAGTTAT